ACATGCAGCTGTCAGATAATTAACGTGCACTTACAACATGAGTAGTCTTTACTATCACAAGTTTATAGTGGCCTCATCATTCACATGGCTAAGGTAAACAGCAAGGATTACTGGTCATAGCACATGAGACACTGAAGTTTAGTTTAGTAAAGATTACCTCCCTTGGAGAAGCCACATGGATTTAACTTGGGTAACAGCACAGTCTGACAGCAGAGAAAAATCATGAATGACAAACACCAAGGAATATACACCAGAAGAGATCATTTAGCTTCCTGATACATTTTCTGGATCCTCGTGGGTCACGGAAATTATCCAAGCATTGCATGGCAAAATTTAAAAAGCACAGAAAATGCTGTGAAGCAGAGGAGAAAAGAATAAAGGAAGAATAGGAGATCTCACACAACTTGATAAGCAATCTTGTTGGTTTTGGTGCTCAGGGGACTTGGTACCTCTATTCCAGGCAATAGAGATGCTTAACACAAGTGATAACAGATAGAGACTTCCCCTTTCCTCTTGTACTTGGAGAGAGAATTAGAAAGGAACTATTAATGATGTTCAAGAGGTAATGCATAAATTACAGGAGCTCTCAGTCAGTAGAAGGTAGCAAAAGACAGGTAAAATTAAAAGTCCCACAAGTCTCATTGATTCTTAATGACTCTTAGGCTCAAATTCCTGGCAAAGATTAGGGTTTCTTAGAATTTTATCTCAAGAGCACAAGAGGAGTTTTACAAGCTAGCTGTACTCAAACAAGAGAGCAGGGGTGCCTCAAGCACTGGGAAGCTTGCCCTATCCCGTTCTCAACACACTGGAACCTTCTGTGGAAACCAGCTGTGCTTATCTCACGCTGCATTACAACTGTGGGCTGAAACTCCAAAGCCGAGAAGGAAAACAGAGAGAGATTCTTTCAGTTGGGTAACAACTGGGTAGCAGAGCAAATTCAAGCAGCCTAGGGACTTTTATTTCTGCTATTCTGTAGGCCTGGATGACTACAGTCCAGTTTATGGGCTATGTGTTGTTCAGACAAACCTGGTCTGAACAACAGGTCATCTGAAGAAGAGGTGGATGCACTGTCCCTTTGAATAAAATCCACTGGAGCTGGCATAGCTAAGTACCTATTGAGCTCTTCTACCTGTCAGTCTGAGCAACCTCAGACTGTTACCTGAATGTCTTCCAGTGGTACCTGAAACAATCACAACCTACAGGTTTTGCTGCTACAAGGATTTCTGACCTGCTCTGTAAGTCACATCAGACAAGTATTGCCCTGAATCTGAACAGGACACACTTAGGTCAATGATAGCCCTTGACAACCAGGCTCTGCTGTGCAGAACCCCTGGAAAAAGCTATGAAGCTGATGACTCAGGTGCTACCTGATAGTTAAGAAGCTGAGCTGTCTTTATCAGGTGGGCACACCTGAGTGGATGGAAGAGGATGCACAGATGTGTCGCACACACAGCCTTCACCATTGCTCGTGAAGTTCTGCACAAAGTGCTTGTACAAGGAGGTGAAGAATCCTGCAAGAGTCCTGGCTCAAGACACTTCCTTCTGAGTGGTTATGACCCCCAGGCAATGCAGTGGCCAGCTCTCTGAGCAGCTGCTGAAGGCTGTACTCCTGCTTGCCTGTACTCATCTTGGAGAGGCAACTGATAAGGCGGAATTTCACAAGGAATAACTGTAGAGAGTGAGCATCAGCTGGGACACTGTCTCTGTGCAAACATCACATTCTCTTGGATCCTGGCTGTATTTCGTTCCCATGGCACAAGGCAAGCCTTTTCCCAAGTGATTCCAAAACCCCCAGGTGACCTACTGGGTCATCAAGTGAGACAAAGCACATAAACTTGTTAAATTCACCATTTCAATGGCTGGAGGAAATTTACGGTGCCTTACAAAGAAGAGAAAACTACAAGAAACTTTTCATATACAGCGAACCACAGTTTCAAAAGGTTGCCATATGACAGTTAATGGTTGGTTCAACATCACCTGGGCAATTGCCCTTAGAACACATTTTTAAAACCTCTCTCCAAAAGGCCTCTTTCCTGGACAGACAAACTGAGAAATTAATTGCTTAAATTTTTCAGATTATCCCAATTTTAAAATGTCTCACAAAAATATATTTTGACTGATATTCCTGCACAAACCCACTGGCAATACTCAGGAAAAACTCACAAAAACTGGAGAAAGAGACTCCCTGGTCAGGAATGCTTGGCTACAGGGTCAAGAGAGGGTAGCTGAATGTAAGCATAACCATTTCCATGTTGCAAACCCACCTGTTTGCCAGTCTCATTGCCCTTAAGGATGAAATTAACTGCCAACATTTATCACTGAAGAAGAGCTCCCACATCCTGTCTGCTAGACCCAGGGAGAGGCAAACAGCAGGAACAGCTGCAATTAACTTGAGGCCTAATTACAGTCAAGCTAAAAGACAGTGGTGATATTTTCTACTCTACAGAAAACAAAACAAAAATAAACCACTGCAAAAAGATGAAGAAAGAAGTGAACCCAGGGAGGAAGAAGAATGCCATGTTCGGTGAGGGGAAGCAGACCCTTAGCAACGTCACATGAGTCTGGATCTGTGAAGCACGGATTTTCTTCAACTGCTGATCTCACCCAGTGCCTCTAACATCCATGCCAAGCATCTTCCCCATGTGGAGAGCTAAGAGATCACAGCTCCAGAACAGCTCATCCAGTGATGAGCACACAGCAATGCACAATAAACACTGCTTACAGTATACATTACCTTTAATTTTAACTGTCATTTGTAAACAGTGATTAAAACACAAGAAACACTAAGCTGCAAAGAGCACAACAGCCTGCACTAGAACAAAGTGGGGCCAGAGGCTGAGGAGCACCCAGGAGTGTAGGAAGACAAACCACCAGAAGGATTTCTTTTCCAGAAACTGACTGCTGGACAGCTGTCCCAAGATCGTTATAGCTGACTCGTTTGCCTCGCAGCCATCTGACACACATCCCTCCTGTCTGGGGAGCACCACCAAGTAATGAAGGGCTGTGTCACTTCCTGGGGATAACCAACCATTTAAAATCTCAGCAGCTGGGCTGGGATGAAGGATGAAGGACTTTAACAAGGAAAGGAACAAAAAGCCAAGCAGACTGACCACAGGGGAGCAGCTGGTGGTGACACATAGCCCAGGCTGCAGCCAGCCAAATGCATCATGGGCACTTTCTTAGGTCACATGAGACTGGAGCCCAGACCACCCCCTCTGCATGCTGCCTGGTGGCTGCCTGACCTCGCAAAATCCACAGGGACAAAAAGAACAAAGCAGTGCAATAATTTGGCCCAAGACATGGATCTGTGATTTTAAACACACCTGTAGTCTCAAATAAAAACCTGAGAGAGTAAATTATTTCTGTGCTTACATTCCAGTTTTGTCCAAGTTGTATAACTGGGATTTTATATGCTGTCCTTGTCCACAAGAACACTGCCTGTTCTGTCAAGCACACAGACACCACAAAAGAAGCTTGTCGCCTCCTGAATTCAGCACAGAGTACAGAAATTGTCAAGGAACAGGGTATCCAAGAGGGGTAATACAAACTCCTCCAGTACAAGAGAAAGCATGATTGAACTAGACAAGCAGTAAACGACAAACAACATGACTCGGTCTAATACTTCTAATGGTATCTGCCTCTATGGAGCAGCTTCGCTCCTGCTAGGATGTGGAACAACTTGGTATATGTCAGGTGAATAAAACTTCTCTTAAAAAAAAGAAGAAACATTTCTACTTAATGCAAACTGAAATTTTTTAAGTATCTCCTCACTCCACATTTTCTAGGACTAGGTTGAAGAGGAAAGACAGTCAGTCCTTTAAATGTTTGACATTTTTTTTTTAAAGTTCAGAAATTAAAACATTTTCAATTTGCCCTTGTTGAGCTGCGAACAGAAGTAAAAAGCAAAGCTGGGAATAACAGCTTGCATTTCCCCAGAGGCCCAAAAGAAGATAAGAAACCATCTCCCACAAGAGAATGAACAAAACACAGGAGACCAATTCCCCCCTGAGGTCCCAGCACAGCTGTAAGAAACACACTTGATATCCAAATCTGTACTGTACAGGTTTCTGAGTAGTCCTGACCTGCAGCCGGAGCTAACTCCTCTCTCCAACTGTAGTACCTAAACAATCAGCTGGGACAGTACAAGCCATTCTACAGTGAGACCTGGATTTCCCAGAACTGTTAGTGGTTGTGTGCTGACATTGAGGAAAATACAATCACAAAAAAGCTTAATCACAACCTCATTTCAGACCTCCAACTAAGCTCTTCTCTTGTTTTTCAAACAGCCAGAACCCCAGTGCATTGTCACATAAGGCAGGAGAAGGAAAAGAAGCAATGATCCACATAATGCTTAAGTTCAACAACATACCACAGCAACCCAAATGCTCAGGTCCTGGCAGCCCTGCCACAACAGCTGACCCTGCGGGATGGCTGTAACCACAGGCACCACCACAGAGTTCCGTGACTACCCAGCACGGTCTTTTCCAAACTGAACTACATCTTCATTACAGAAAATCTTAGCAGAAACCCTGTAGAAATCTCAAAGCATCTGATGATATTGAAATGCTAACAATAATCTGACTTCAGTTGGATAAGGTCCTGCAGGAACAATGTACCTAGCTACTACAGTGCTCTGTTTCACATTTTAGATTTCTGATTTAACTCCCAAATTCATTAATTTTCAATAATTAAGACATTAAAGTGGCAAGATGAAAATTACAGTTGCTTAAAGTGTATGGGCATTAGACCAACTAAGATTCAGATGCCTTCTTATTCTTACTGCGAGTTTTTGTAGTCAAGTTAGTAGGGTATGCAGGGCTGAAAGTGAGATTTGTCTGTAAAGCTTTGCAGGATGAGGGCCATTTGTGCATATTTGCAGAACAGGTCAGGAGCAAGTCATGGTGCCCTACAAAAACTCGAGTAGGCTCGAGTTTCTTCCCTTACCTCACCTCGCACGGCCAGTGAGCCCACATTTCTGCTGATACTCCAGCCAGCACACATTCATTCCCACACAACACAGACTCTCCTGTCAGGCCTATTTGATTCCAGAACGTGTAACTCCACTGGCTGTGTCTGGGTGCCTGCTCCTTAGAAGAAGCATTTTTACTGCAAGGTAAGAAGACCACGGCAATATGTCACGCTCTGGGCTATTGAAATAGAGAGGGGCGTCAGCACCCCGTGCCTACACATACTGGAGTCTGACTCGAGGAGCACCCAAATTCCTAGCGAGACCGTGAGCCGGGTGGGGAAAACGAGAGCGCGGGGCCTTTTTATGCAGAGGGGAACATGTCCTTGCAGATGAGCACATGACTACAGGCGTGTTCGTGCTGTAAATGCAAACGCGGCCGCGCCCGGGCCCTCGCCCACAGCCCCGCACGCTCGGGCGGGCAGGCAGCGCGGCGAAGGCTGCGGGAAGCCCAGCCCGGCCGCCCGCCCCGGAGGGGCCGGGGAGCCTCGCAGCCCCTCCGGCGCCGCCCCGCCCGCGGACCAAAGGGAGGATTTATTTACCTGCGGCCGGGCCGCGCTGTGCCCGCGCTCCGGGAGGGGCCCGCGCTGGCCCTGCCCGGCGGCCCCTCCTGCCGCCGCGTCCTGCCGCAAAGCCGTCCCGGCCGCCGCGGGAAACGGCTCCGCCGCACCAAGGTTCCTGCCGCCGCCAGCGCCCGCCGAGCGTGGGGGAAACCCGCCACTCTCACTTCCCTTAAAAATACAGAACTGGAAAAACCACAGGTTTTCCTATATAAACATCAAGGGTAAAGTTGCACCTTTCCAAGTTTAAAGCGGCCGAGATTCTCAGGGAGCTGGCGCTTGGCTTCAGGAGAGATGGGAAACGCAAAATCCTAGCGGGATTTTCACAGTCCCAAGTGCGAGATCGCTTACCTAGGCGCGAAGGCTGCAGGGAGCAGCAGCGTGGTGCATGAGTCCATAGTGCCACGGGGCAACAAAAAGAGCCCTAGCAGAACCTGTTACCCGTGGAAAACAAAGAGTTACAAGACAATTACAAATGGCTTGTTTCAGGTAACATGGCAACCCACACGGCGATACTGGTCCTGCAAAAATAACCTCACGGCAAGAAATAGCCGCGTCTGGATTAGGGGTGCACGTGGATTTTGATGTGCCGTGTACACAGACCACCTCTCACTAGCACCATGCACAGGTCCAAGCTCCTGGGCGCGGTGGTGTCTCGCTGGCTGTGCCGCAGGGGAGTCGGTGGTGCTGTGCTGAGCTGCAGAGATCGGGTTAGTGCTGAAGTGGAACCACAAGATGTGGTGCTGAATTGAATCCATCAAGTGGATTCACGATCCACAGCAAAAGGCAGGCGTTAGGTCAGCTTCCACCAGCTTTCATCTCCTCACATATCAACCATTTATGTATACTGTAAAACGCAACTGGCACAATTAACAAACTGGTATTTGAATGGGTTATCTCACTTCAGTGACAGCAAGAGTAAATGAGAGCCTTTGGCATATAAAATACCAGTTAATCTGGCTGAAAATTAATTAATCTCAGCCTTCAAAAATAACATATTACTAGACCACCATACATTCCAAGTCCTGCTCCCAAAGATGAATGATCCTTCACTGTTTTGTAAAGAAGGTAACAGTCAAAGATTGATCTTTTTTATTCCAATCCAGCTGTATCCACCTAGATCCCACAAAGGACAATGCAGTATCATTACCTGCCATGTTGTTTATCACTATCCAGCCTTTTCTCAAATGGTACTTAGACATCTCTTGGGCTCCTCAGAAGGAAAGAAACTCTCTAGGACTCCTGTGTCTGACAGTGTTTCAGAACTTTGCCTCTCTTCCAGGAACAAACTAAAAGTTTCTTTTCAGGCCCAACCAAATCGTACACAGGATGTGCTGGTCCACTACCTGTGGGGACACAGCTTTCAGGGGAGAAAAGCAGGTAGTGTGCACTGTAAAAAAAAACCAAAAAAAAAAAAAACAAAAACAAAAAACAACTCTTCCTTGCTTCTGATTCCTCTAGTAGAGATTTTTCTTCCTGCAGTCTGTGTGCCAATGGAGACGGAAAAAACCACCCCAATTATCTACATTATGTTTCAAAGCTCCAGTCAAACACTCTCAGTTCTGAAGAAATAGGAACCTTTGAAATTTTTTTTTGTTTTTACTATATATATATATCTCAGAATGCAAGCTTCAGATTTTGCGATTTTCATTGTTTAAGAATATCTTGTCCCCCAACATGAAATTACAAGCTGTTTCCAATAAGATATACTGGTTAAAGACATAGTGGTGGCTGTTTATCAGAACCTTCCACACAGCTTGACTTCCAGCTTTGTCCTAGTTGCTCACCAGCCATCAGCACATGGCCTAACACTGAACTGTGCATGGAGCCATATGGTGGTTACATGTATGAGTAAAATAATTGTACATTTGTCCATATGACAAAGACACTGACCTGGGACACATGGATTCATCTTCCTTCTACTTGGAATGTGTCAAATGTCATTTTTCTCCTTAGTTTCAAGACTGTGTTCAAAGAGGGAAAAAATGCCTCTCTTTAGTTATACTAGAAACTTAGATGCTTTCCTTTTGGAAGAGTTTGCTGGACCAAGTGCTCCTTCAGTCTGAACATCGTCTATGAGTATTCCAGAATCATCTTTCAAAGACCAGATCATTGCACCATGTGTTCCTCAGTTTGGCTCCTGTTGACAAGAATCCAAACCTCCTTCTCAAACTGGGAAACTCAGCAACTCTCTGGGCACATCCTTTGCTGGCATAATGTGGAAAGAGCAATGCCCATTTATTTTGGCCATTGACTGACTTGACAGCTCATACCAGCTGAGCATTAGACCCACCAGTCTTCCACCGCCTCTGAAAAAGTGGCCTTTTTTCACACGTTTTAATTACTCACTCCCTACATAGAAGCTATTTCCTCACAGAAAGGCCCTTAACTGGAGCGTTCAGCACAAGATGAAGCCTTTCTGATAATAGTTGCTTGAGTTCATGTTTGTGAAAATAAATATCATCAGATGATTAAATTAAACACCACAGCCAGCCCAGCTATACACTATTTTCACTTATCATGCAGAAGAGGAGATCAAAGAGAAAGGCTCAGGTAGAATTATTCCAACTCTTCCAAGTTTGGCTGACAGCTACCCATTGAACACACTAATTAGCTTCCTGCTTGGGGTGTGCGGCTCAAAATTAACCCTCCCAAAATTGGCTGGTATAGCCATTTTCATGCTCTGTAATCAACTGCATGCAGAATCTCCTCTGTAAAGCAGCAGCTCTGCCTGATTCTGATTTTGGGGGCTATTGGGCCTCCGTCCTCTTAGAATTTTGTGTGGGCACAAAGAGAGCTGTGCCTGGGGAGCATGAGGAAAGGCTGGAGGCACCCCAGTCCTGCGGGGTTTCTGCTTCTCAGCTCTTCCCTCCCCTTCTGTGAGTAGCCATGCCCGTCTCTGCGCTCCTGCAGTGAGTAGCAGCACGGCTCTCACAAGCCCCCTGGCACGGGGGCTGCTTAAATAGGGAGATGGTTTCCCAAATGGAGTTTCGCCCAGTGCTTGCCTGCTTTGCCTCCTTGGGCCCTGAAGGGCAGGGGGAGAGGAGGAGAGCGAAGCAGTGGGCAGCGTAGTCTGTTCCCACTGCGAGCCCGCTGTCCTCCCGTGAGCACACACACCCACACAACCAGAAAGCTCTGCTATTCTTCTGCTAATGGGATTGGCACCGCTTAAAGCAGTCTGCGAGGGTATTGTCTGCAACCACAGCAAGAGAAACATTATTCAAAGGCTATTCAGGCCCCAAAAGAAGCGGCAGAGCAGAGTAATTATCGAAGACTCTCCATTAACGAGGGCATCTTTGCTCTTTGTCTGTGTTGGTTTAATAAGGGCCACTAATGGGGCCGGGGGAGGGGCTCACTAATGCTTCTAAACAAACCTCCTTCCCTTCCCCACCCCCGCACCGTGAGGAGAGCTGCCTTTATGGGCACTGACAGCCGGGCTGGGAGTTACCATATTGCAGAGTGACCTTCGGGAAAACTTAGTGTGAACCCAGCCGCATTCAGCTCCATCCCCACCGAGCTGCTTGGAGCATCGTTTGGGTAGCTGTTCTCTTTTTAGCCTTTCCATGTTTCCCGATGCTCGCCAGACCCTTTTGTAGACCCCCTGCCCGACCTCTCTCATGTCATCTTGTGACCCTTCATGGCTGGACACGACGGCACTGAGTGGCAGTAATGAGGGACGACAGTGCAGATTAAGTTCTCGCAGCAGAACCTGGGGCTGCTGTCCATTATCCAGCAGCTGTGACTGGGAGATGCTGCTGGGAATGCACGACTGGAGCAGCCTCCCCTTCCCACACTGCCAGAGACGGCGGGCTGGCTTTTAGCATGGACCAATGTCTCCCACCTTCTGGCTGTGGGCAGTTCTCTGGTGATGAAGAGAAGGACTGAGGCAAAAACAAGCATGAACATCGATCCCAGCATTCTTCAGAGCCACTTTTGGGAGCATGCAGCTAAAATTCTTCTGAGAGCTCTGAAAAACTGTCCCCATCTTCAACCACCAGCTGTAAGGGACCAGCCAGTTTTTGAGGCAATTTGAAATATTACAGGGTCAGCTGCATGCTGGTCACTGAAATGGTGAATTGGGGCCAAGAGATCTCAGAAGGTCTCTGCAAAAAACAGCATTGAAAGAGAGAACTGCAATGGTACACACAGATAAGAATATTGAACAATACAGCCTGTTCCAAGGTGTTGTGGATACAAGGTTGAGAACTTCTAGATTAATTTTTAACCAGTGAGGAATCTCAAGAACAATAAAAGGAAATTATTCCCCCACTACCTGGGAAGATCTTTTACTGAAGCCAAGCTATGGACGCTGTACTACTCTATCTCACCTTCAATTAGATGGTTGTACTGTACAACCAGTCCATGGACTGCAGAGACAAAGCACTGCCTTTGTGCCTGTAGGCATGAAGAGTTCCTTTAGCACTCTTGGGAACCTCACAGCTGGGCCTCTTTTGTTATGGTAAATTATTTCATTCAGCTGAGGTATGGAATGACAAAATTCTCTGCACAGGCAGTCCTGTCCACTTAGGCAAATATCCTGGTGCTAAAGGCTTATCACAAACAGAGGAAGAAAGATATGTGGGGACA